AGTCCACTGTGAGCCAGAAACTGAAAAAAGGATGTCATCCCTGTCATCTAGGTCCTTTCAGTCTGGTAGATTAAGATGAGACGTACGAAGCTGGAGATTCCTAAAGCACTCTATGGGAATGACATGCTAATTGCTACGGAGGCTAGATACATACAATCATGAACAAATTTTCATTGGTACTACAGTTGCAGGTCATCTTGGAATTGTTTGCCATTGGGAATATTCTATTAAACAGACATTATAACACAGATTTCAAAATTTAAAATGGGAGCTGGAGACTTGTCATTCAATGATTTCTAACGTAAAATTAAATAAAATACCAGTAAAACCAATTAAATTTAGAGAATTTTAAAAGAAATGAATAGAAATACTTAACTGCTTTTGAAAAATAAAAGAAGAGGAGAGTTAATTCTACTAAATCAATGAAACAAATAGAAAACCTTCCTTGGTTTGAGAGTATTACCAGTTTAGAAAGCTAAACAAAGGTGAATGGTTCACGAAATAAATATAAACAAGGGGGGGGGGAGAGAAAATAAGAGATGAATGGAAATGAGAAAGAAAGGGAAATTAGAGAAGAAGGATGAGAGAAGAAACACAGCCTGTGAGCACATTAAATCCTTAAGTTAGGAGGTCATTTGTCACTGGTTTTGAAACGCTGATTGGTGTTGTAAAGGTTCAAAACAGTTGGTTTTCTATATTGGGGTAAGGTTGTTATGCTCTTATTTTTAAGTAAGAGTATTTTTTGAAATCCCAGGTTTCTCATATAATTATAAGACTTTTGCTCTTTTGCCAAAGAATGGCCCAGACAATAAAAATGTACTTAAGATACTTGCAGCAGAGATGCTTAAATTTGATACCTCGGCATCACTTGGGAAACGTCTGTTTATTTGAGCAAAGATTTACATGTATTCCTTACTAACTGCCAGGCAGTACTCTGAGTACTTTACATATTTTACCTGATTAATTCTCATAAGAACCCAGTGAGAGAGGCACTATTATCCCTACATCACGGATGAGAAAAGTGAGGCATGGAGCACTCAAGTCAGTGGCACAAGATCACAAAGCTGGAAAAGACAGCACCAGGGTTTGCCCTGAGGTGCTCTGACAGCAGAGCCCATGCCTTCAGTCCCTCAATTACAATGGTCGGTCCCTCCTCAAAACTGCTCACTGTGCTGGTGGGATTCTGACATCTTTACAGGCACAATTTAAACTCACCAGAGTTTAAGATCCTGAGCGATCAAACACGCTCCACTCCACAACACCCTGAGATTACCTTATTTGTTTGTTTTAAATTCCAAATCTTTAAAAATAAATCAAATCCTGGTATTAGGCTGGTTAAAAAGTCAATATCAAGAAAGATAACAGGAAAGAAGGAACTCTGTGTATAACACTTCCCTAGGAATAGATGGGCTCAACTATGTTTTATAGCCCTTAAACATCCTCGTCAAAACCTTAGACTACTTTGGATGGGACAGAACTTGCAAGGGAATTACTCTCTGGGCACCATATCCCAGCATCATAGAATTTGAGCAATAAAATGGGAAAATGAGCAAACTGAGTTAAGCAGTTTGCACTGCTAGTAAGTGAGAAAACCAAAACAAGAATCCCAAATTGGGTTTCCCAGATTTGGAGCGCCTCCAGTTGTCTCTAACAGACACTGGGATATCATCGTCTCTGCTATCTGCGCCTCCGAATATCCACCCACTGCACTGCTCAGCCAACTGAGCACTACTTAACAGTGTCTAGTCGAAAGAAAATCCAATTCCATTCCTGTCTATGGCTCCTGACTAATTATAAAGGTACACAAGCCTCGGAAACAAAGAAACCTCAAGTATCCTCTACTTTCAACCCCTTGAAAATCCAGAAGCACCTTGAAATAACCTGTTCCTCTTTGGCTTCCTTTCCCCTGCTCTCCTGTCCATAGCATCCCCTCACCAGAGATGGAGGGAGTTCAATGACAGAAAGCTCGCCCAGCCCTGTGTTACTTTCCAGAGGTTAGATGAACAAATGCAGAGTAAATATGGGGTTGCCTTCCGTATGCCACTCATCACGACTTCATCAGCAAAGACTTTGGAAAAAAGGAAATGAGGAAAGGGAGGCACCAGGACCAGGAAGAGGCCAGACCTCCTCAAAGTGTCAAGGGAAGAAAGCTGTTCACACTCCCATGTCTTCTAGCATATGTTCTTTTCTCTTATTCCACTCTTTCCACTAGGCCAGGACTTGACACTAGCTGGATAAATTCAAGCCCCTGCGTCTTTTCTGACCCAATGCTGAGGCTTCCAACTTCTGGGCAGAAACCTTCCAGATCTGTTGGAGATATAGCCAACCTTCATTCAGCTGCCCAATCAAAGAAAGAACAAAGAAAATGCAGTCACTATTTACATAACTTTCATACATGCGTTATTTAGTTTAAGACATCTGCTATCTAGCTTCCCTTTTCATTCAAACGACATGTATCTGTGGAGTGCCACGGACTGTTTCAGTTCCACCCACATATTCCACATGCCATTCATCTGATTTCTAACTCCAAAGCTCTTTTTATTCTGCCTCCCAATTTTAGCTATCAGAATCTGTCAAAATTGCTATTCTTCTCTCTCATATTTATAGTGAGCCATTCCTAGTCATCATGAGGCCATCTGCACACTGTCACTGGGTAGTGACACGCAGCCTTTGTTCAAACCCAAAGATGCTGCGTCTTGCAGGATGGATATTAATGCTACTAAATCCATCTTCAACATTCCCAAATAACACCATTCATAACAGCTATTATATCTGCGCAATAGCATGAAGAGAGGGTGCGGCATATTATTAGCAAGAACTACCCATTACAACAGAATTATGATGTTATAAACAGAAAATAGATTTCCTTTTCGTTCTTTCTAATGTTGTGCTTTATATTCTTTGAAAAACAGTTCTTGTACAGAGGTGATTACAATTGTCAGGCATGTAGAATGATTTCTATGAGCATCTCCTGAGGGCTCCTGGCTGGATGTTAACCCTTTAACTGAAGAGAGGGCTCTCCACCATTGCTGGCATATCAGAATCACATGTGGAGCTCCTTCAGGAGGAGTTTGAACATCTGTTTTTTTATAATTGTTTATTTATTTGCTGGTTGGTTTGTATATTCTAAAATGACCCCTTGTTAATTCTGTTGCGTATTCAGAAGTAAGACACCACTGATTTAAGCCTTTGCCTAGTATATAAAAACCAACTCAAGTTCTGCTGGCATATAAAGTATTTTAAGTCAAAGGATCATAAACATAAGTGATGTGGTCCAGTTGACTTGTGATTTATGTCATGATTGGTGTTTTATATTTCAATCCATCAACATAGACACATTATATTTTCCTATTAAACATGGAAGAACATCCTTCAAGTGTGCAAGGGAGTTTGTTATCACAGACTGTCTTAAAACCCAAAGCCTCTCAATTCATCTCTCATTCTCCCATTTATGATAGTGACATTAACTAACACAACAAAGTAATGGCTCAAGCTTGATGACTAATGGCAACTGAAATTTGCCCTCAGACCTGGGAAAAAAGGGGAGTGGTTGGAGCTGTAGGGAATTATAGAGAGCACACCCCATATGAATGGAGCTGAGAGTATTTAATAATTTAATTATTTAAGTATTTTTATATAAAAATAATTTAAGTATTTTTTATATAAAATTGTAGAGGAAAGACTGATTTATATTTTATTCTTTCTACAGAAAATCATGTTGACAAAATTAGTGTCATATGTAGAGGTGATCAAAGACTTTGCAGCCAAAAAGTGTAAGGGAAATGTTAGAGATGATGATGCTGCTATCATATTATTGTCTTGATTTTGTGACATTTGTGTTTTTTGTCAACTTGTAAGTTTTTATTCGTTAATATTATTTTTGTTCTTAATTGGCATTCATATTTACATCTACTATTCTATTCACAATATTGTATTCTTTTTCTTAAAGAAAACCCCCAAAATTATAAACATCAAGATTTTCAGACCATGGATCCACCTCTAGTAAGACAGTTGGGACAGAATAGTGTACCTCAAGTAGAGAGAAAAACAGGATCTTCCATGACCTTGGAAATGCTCAAAAGGCATTCAAAATTTTGAGGTGGGGGGCCTAGAGATGTTATAGGAGGGTAGATTCCAGGATGTTTTACAAATATAAATGTACACTACAAAATCCATGAAATAAGTTCATTTTGAAACAATTTTGATTTGATTGATCTAAGAAGTAGAGGATCCATAGGTCGTCCAGTGGGAAGAAGAAAATCCTGACATTTCTGTCCCTCTCTCCACCACTGTCATTTATTTCCTCACCTCATCTCAGTAGGGCTCCCACTTTGTTTTTATTCACGTGTCCATGTTGATCTCTTCTTGCTTTAGATTTTATTTCATTTTTCTAAACACTAAATTAAAAAATTTCTTTTTCAGCATCATGCCCATTCCTAGTCATCTCTCTCAATCCTTTTGGCTTACTTTTATATGCTCCCTTTAGACTAGACATAGTAAGAATTTCTAATAGTAACTAACAGATGGAAATTTACACTGGAGAGTGTGAATCAATGGTTTGATATAGGGGCAATGTTCAGAGGGTTCCTCATCAAGACCAGATTTCTGCCTCTTGGCCACTGGCACTATAAGGAGAGGACTACATTGAAATCTCCATTCTAGGAATAAAACATTCCTTAGCCAAAACAGGATCAGATGTACAAGTAGTCATGGCCACAGAAAATAAGACAAGTTTCCCTGGCCATGATGGACTAGGCATTAATTGCATACCTTCATAGCATTTGTAACATAGATGTAATTCATTGACATAGAGCTATAAAAATAAACTGAGTTCACCCATAAATGTAAGATGAAGGTTGTTAGCTAATTGTAACTACAAAGAGGATTACTGACTTACGTGTATGCAAATGAGGGAGTTCAAATATGGAAAAGATGACACTATAAAATACCACACCCATTGCTGAGAGTATATAAATATCACAGTCCAGGAATGACATTCAAACTCAAAATCTTCTCACCGTAACTCAGCTGACCTCACTTCTCCTGTCAACATGTCCCACAGCTGCTGCTCTGGAAGCTTCTCCTCCCGCTCCCTTGGGGGCTACCTGAGCTACCCAGGCTCCTTCTGTGGCTCTTCCTACCCCAGGAACTTGTTCTACAGCACTGCCTCCCGCTCTCCCATCACCTGCCAGCTGGGTTCCTCTCTCTACAGTGGTTGTCAGGAGAACTACTGTGAGCCCATCAGATGCCAGACTTCCTATGTGGTATCCAGACCTTGCCAGACGTCCTGTTACCACCCAAGGACCTCCACACTCTGCAGTCCCTGTCTGACGACTTATTCTGGATCTCTAGGTTTTGGATCCAGCAGCAGCTGCTCCCCACGCTGTGGATTTAGAAGCTCCTACTCACTGGGTTGTGGCTCCAGTAGCTTCAGACCCCTGGTTTATGGAGTTCGTGGTTTCCCTTCTCTGAGCTATGGATCTGGATTCTGCCGCCCATCCTACTTGACTTCTAGGAACTTCCAGTCTTCTTGCTACAGACCAACCTGTGGATCTGGCTTCTACTAATCATCTTATTAAATTTCTAATCTTGTTATCCAATACCATCAATGCCTCGACTCATAAACGTCATTACCTTTGTCATCTACAGAAAGAATTATCCTCTTACTTTCTGATTGTCAAATTTTCACCTTGTCTCTTGCCCTAAACACTGGCTAAAAGGTCTCCCTAAAAAATTCTATAATTAATATACTAACTCAAAATAAAGTCTAAAGTCTGCATTGGAGATGGAATTCATGTTATTGGTTTTTATTCCAAAATTGTTTGAAAGGTTCAATCATTATAATCTAATAAACTTATTAGTTCTGATATCCAACTGTGTTTGTTGTTTTTAGTTGTTTATTAACTAGAGTTTTAATTCTGATAGATGAAAGAGATATTATGAAAAGACCAATATGCACATGGAAATAAGTTTTGAAATCCTAAGAAGTTGGGGATTTGCACTAATTTTGGGAGACCTCAGATATTTTTCTGACTCAAACTATAGATAGTGGAAAACTATTGTTTGAATATATAGGCTTTTATGAATTAAAATCTCAAAATCAGGAATTAGATTGAGTCCCTCATAAGATGTGTGTCCTCAGATAGACATAATTACAGATATAGTTTTATATAGCTATAGATATAGGTGAATATATAGATACAGATATAGATAAATATATAGATAAATTTATAAATATAGATGAATATATAGATGATAGAGATATAGACATAGATAGCCTAATACCCAAGGAAAATTTACCAGACCTCAAGAAGTTAAGAAATGACTAAATCCAAAAGATGTATCATGTAGTACAAACAAACTCACAAGAGATTCAGTAAATAGAAATATTAGACATAGAAGTTAAAATTGATATGCTTAGGAAATAAAAGGATAGATTGAAAATTTTGGCAGAGCACTGGAACATATTAAAAGAACAAAGCAGAAATTCTAAAATTGAAAAATGCAATAAATTAAATGTAGAATTGGTGAATAGATTAAAAACAAATTATACACATCAGAAGAGAATTAGTTATTATTCCCTAGAATTTGTTCAAACTAAAAAATTAAGAAAACTGTAAGAATATTGAATGGAGTTTCAGAGAATATGGAACATAGAGAATGTGGAAAAGTCTAACATAATTTCAATTGGAGTCCTGAAACAAGATTGTGTGTGTGTAAGTGTGTGTATGTACATATGTGTGTATGTATGTGTATATATATTCAATGGAAAATGAACAGCTATTGACAAGTCAAGATATCACCAAATCCAAGAAAAGTAACATGTAATATAAACAGATACAGAGAGAATTTTCCAATAGAGGAACAACATTAATTCACAAATTCAAAAATTGTTACAAAACTCATGCATGAAAAATACGAGGAAAGACCTACACCTTGGTGCATTGAAGTAAAACTAATAAACAAGAAAGAAAAAGAGAAAAATTTAAAGCAATGAGAGGGGGAAAAAGATGCAAGTTACCTTCAAAAAAGCAACAATAAGCAGCATCCTGGGCACAGATATGGCATTGTGCATCAGCCCATGCTGAGGCAGCAACCCACACAGCACGACTAGAGGCACTCACAACTGGAATGTATAACTATGTACTGGGGGGCTTTGGGGGAAAGAATAAAAAAATAAAGAAGATTGGCAACAAATGTTAGCTCTGGTGCCAATCTGTAAAAGAAGAAAAGCAACAGTAAGATTGGCAATTGAATTCTAAAAAGATAGAAAAAGGAAGATAGGAAAACAATTAAATATACTCAAATTTCTAAAGAAAGAAAACTTGAAAACTAGAACACTTGACTTGTGAGTATCTTTCAAAAATGAAGGGAAAACATGGACATCTTCAGGCAATCAAAAACTTAGAGATTTTGTCACTAGGCTTCCAGCACTAAAATGGATAACAAGGGTTATACATAGTCAAAAGCAAAATGATCCTGGAATATAGCGAAAAGAAGTAGGAAGGAATGAAGGGTAAACAAAAGATATATACTCGGTAAATTGCCTATCAAAACATGGAGCGAATAGATATCAATATACAGAAACATATATGAAATTAAAGTACCAAAAATCCCAACATAGTAATGTATATATTGGGGTGATGATAAATGGCCTTAAGATTTCTGACATTCTTGTACAGGAAACAGTAAAAGTATTAATATACGTTAGCAAATCAGCAACGCATTCTGCAATGTCTAAGACAGTATTGTTCAAACAGAACTTTCTGTGATACTTAAAATATTTTTATCTGCACCTCCCAATATTTGATATCCATCAACTACATGTGTCTGTTGTGCACTTGACGTGGTGAATATGACTGAGGAACTGAATTTTAATTTAGTTTAAGTACTGTAAATAAAACTTGATATATGTGGCTAGTGGCCACTCTATTGGATGGATTTAGAGCGACTTCTAAAAGAGTAATAAAATAATGTGTGTTATTCTGGAAGACTGACAGGATGATTGTTAATAAGTATCTTGCTTTACGTATAATACACTTCTTATCATATAGCAAACTTTGAGATTAATAAAGCAGAAGTAGCATTTTCTGTTTGCTTCTTTTGCCTGATATATCTTTTTTACTTTTCCCTTTTCTGTTTCCTTATATTTAAGAAAACCTATTATAAGTAGAAAATAGCTTTGAGTTTTAGCCCAGTATGATATTCTAAGTCTTTTATATGGATTATCTAGTCATATTACATTTAACTTAATTATTGATGTATTCAAGTTTCTGCCTACATATTTACTATTTTATTATTATTTGATCCATCTTCTATGTCCCTTTTTATCTCTTTTCATGCTTTTGGGAGAAGGCAATAAAATGGTTTAATGCTACATTTTTACTCTTTTAAGTTATTATTTTTTCCAAGCTTTTAATTTTTAAGCAATTTCTTAAGAGATTTTTAATGATCATTCTTAATTTATTACTGTTCACTTCTACCTACATATTAAGAATCACAAACCATTTTGTTAGTATTATGCACAGTGAGTATTTAGACATAATTCACTTATATTTCAGTCCTCTTTTTCCCACTTGCAATTCTAAGTTTCCTTCTGAGATTATTGTCTATCTAACTGGAGAAAATCCTTCAACATTTCTTTTTCCTCAGCTTTGCCTGACATGCAGAGCTCTACAAAAAGAGGACATTTGGAAATTTTACAGTGAAAAAATAAGCTTAAAGAGGTAGAGTAGGGAAAAGTGTGTTTTACAATGAAGGAGGAAATTGTATGAAATAATTTGAAGTTAAAAATGTCCAGAAAGTACAGCTCGATGGGAGTTATTCTACAAGAGAAAGCTCCCCAGACAAATTGAAAACATAGAAGACAAATATGACAGGGTATATACAAAAAGTCATAAATTGTACCAATTTTGAACTTTTTAATTTGAATTACAAAGAGATGGAAAAACCCATAGAGTCACTAGTTGTCTCCCCTCATCTCAAGAACATTTGACTCACTGAATCTTTTCATATGTGCACAAGTTCATATCCACTGAGTCTGTGTCAGATTAGTCTTCCTTGGTCATTTTGCCTCTAAGCATTTGTCCTGGCTTATCTCTGTGACCTACCATGTTTCTCATTAAATTTATCTTATCTATTTTCCCCTTCTCAAAGTATTTGAGAATTATATATATATATTACATACATATTATGTATATTATATAATGAAATATATGGGAAATAATTTTAGAGTATGAAACAAATTTAGGGAAAAAAATCACTGGAGAAAAATAGGGTGTCTCAGTGATGAGAGGAAAGCACACTTCTGGGCATCATAAGGCATCACTCACACAAGCCCACCTCTCCAAGATTGTGAGACATAGCTGAACTACCTAATGCATAGATATAAGCACAGAGAAAGAGGCAACATGAGGAGACAAAGGAATACCTTCCAAATCAGGGAATAGGACAAAACCCCAGAAAAAGCACTAAAAGAAGCAGAAATAAAAAATCTACTGGACAAAGAGTTCAAACAAAATGTCATAATGTTACTCACTGATCTTGGGAGAGGAATGGATGAACTCAGTGAGAACTTCAACAAAGAATTGGAAAATATAAAAAAGAACCAACCAGAATGAAGAGTACAATGCTAGAAGTGAAAAATTCACTAGAGGGACTCAATAGCAGAGTAGATGATATAGAAGAACAGATCAGTGAGCCGGGTAAAAGACTAGAGGAAATCACCCAAGCTGAACATATATAAAAAAAAAGAACTAAAAAGAACGAGGACAGACTAGCGGGCCTCTGGAACAGAATCAATTGTACTACCATCCATATTATAGAAGTCCCAGAAGAAAAAGAGAGAGACAAAGGGGCAGAGAATCTATTTAAAAAATAATAGCTGAAAACTTTCCTAATCTAAGGAAGTAAACAGGCATGCAGTTACAGGAAGCAGAGAGAGTACCAAGCAAGATGAACCCAAAGAGGCCCACACCAAGAAGCATTATAATTAAAATGTCAAGAATTAAAGACAGAGAATCCTAAAAACTAAAAGAGAAAGGCAACAAGTTATATATAAAGGAAACTCCATAAGGCTATCTGCTGACTTCTCAGCAGAAACCTTACAGGTTAGAAGGGAGTGGCATCATATATTTAAAGTGCTGAAAGGAAAAAACCTACTGCCAAGAATACTCTGCCCAACAAGGTTATCATTCATATGGAAGGAGAGATAAAAGAGTTTGCCAGACAACCAAAAACTAAATGGGTTTATCACCAAGAAAACAGCCCTACAAGAATGCTAAAGGGACTTATTGAAGTGGAAAAGAAAAGACCACAAATAGGAATAAGAAAAATATCCAAAAAAAGCAATAAAATAACTGGGAAAGGCAAATATACAGTAACAACCACCTATGAAGATAATATGAAGATCAAAAGACAGAAGTACAAAAGTTATCTATTTCCATGACAAGAGGGTAATGACATACACACATAAAAAAGAGGTTAGATAGGATATCAAAAACATAAAATGTGGGGGCCCGCCTGGTGGTATAGCAGTTAAGTTCGTGCCCTCTGCTTCAGCAGCTCAGGGTTCACCGGTCAGATCCCAGGTGCGAATCTGCACACCGTTAATCAAGCCATGCTGTGGCAGGTGTCCCATATATAAAATAGAGGAAGATGGGCACTCATGTTAGCTCAGGTATCATCTTCTTCCAAAAATAAAAAACCAAAAACATAAAATGTGGGATGAAGGGAGAAAAGAGTAGAGCTTTTAGCAAGAGGTCAAACTAAAGATATCATCAGGGCTGGCCC